TGTATTGAAAGATTGGTATATTGAAAAATTCTGCAGATCATTCTTGTGTATATCAGTGGCCAGGGACCAAGGGTTTGTGGTTACGTCCTCCTCACACCTGAGAATAATAATTTCTTGTTTTCTGTTTTTTCTAATTCATCCCCAAAGTACTGACAGTGTACCTGTGATGTATCTAGCATGATATGAGAAGATGTAGATAAGTGAAAAGCAAGGTAAACTGATTCCTGCCCATGTGGACCTCCCAGCCTATAGGGAGGAAGGATTAACAAGTGCGTAAAAGATTGGAGAGGGGCAGTACAGGGTGTTACACATATGCCTCCTCAGCACGGGTGGGAATTAGGGCAGGTGTGACGTTAAAAAATGATCCAGAGGATAGGTAGGAGTTAGCCAGGTATAAAGGCAAATGAAATGCATGCTGGGCAGAAGGAATAGGCTGTTCAAAGTCTCTGGGATAAGCGGAAGTGCCACAAGTGTGTCATGGTTGGCGTGTAGAATGGAGGTGGGTGACAGATGGAGACTTTGGATAGGTAGGGAGAGTTCATGAGTGATCGCTTGGCAAACCACAGCAAAGTGTGTCAACTTTATTCTAAACGGTATCGAGCAGTCTTTTGAGGAATTTACATAGCAGAATAGTACTTGCTTTTTTAGCCCATTCTCCTCCTCTGAAAAAAACCAAAACCAAACACAAAAATGAAACTATAAAGTAGGATCAAGGTAGCTATTTTCCATGCAGAACCCAATGGGACACAGATTGGGTTAGGAAGACCAAGTTGGAGCCACAGTCTGTATTTGCAAATGAAGTGGGTGCTCTGCACTTACCAGTTGCAATGCTTTTTCTCTGACAGCCTCTGGCATAGACCACTTTGGCATGGTGGTTCAAAGTTGCCCAGGCCCCACCTGCCCTGTCCTTGTCACACTCAGTCCTGTAAACACCACAGACTTCGTTTCAGAGGCTTCTCTCCTACATCTTTGAGGCCAAGCGAAAAGTGCCTCTGCTCTCTGTCCATCAGTATTTTGATTGAAGTCACTTGGAGGCCCTTTACTTCGAGTGAGCAGATCTTCCTGGAAGGGACCACAGTGAGCTATTTCTTCTGCATTCAAGCATTACTTTGACAGAATGCAATTTTCCACTGAAATTACATCTGATGACAGGTCCACGCCACTGCCCAGGGAGCCCATTCCCCCCTTGCAGATGTGTTTTAAGTCGTGTCATTAGCTGAACAGAAGGGCAGTCTTACGTCTGATGGCTACAATCTCAGCTGAAGAGGTTGAAAGTCCTAAATTACTGTAGGTTTAGTTGAGGGAGGGCCCATTGGCCTTGAGGGTTCCTCCCTGTCCTCCAGTTTCCATCAAGTAAAAAGATAACAAAAGAGTTTCTTAGATTAAATATGTCATATTTTATTTTCTGTGCTTTTATTTATTTTACTCATTTTCTTCAGCTCTTTCAAGGGAAATGGACCAATGATAGGCAAGATACTTTTATCTTTAAAATAACTTATTGAGATGATATATAAGATGAGTACTTTAGGGGAGGTTTCAAAATATCCTTCATTTCTTTCTGTTTGAGCTTTTTCTGTTATCATTTAATTACTGATTTCTAGTCTGATTCCACTATAGTACACAACATACTTTGTATGAATTAAATTCTTTTAAGATTGCTAAGGTTTGTTTGTTTGATAACGCAGGATACAGTCTGTTATGGTAATTGTGCCATAGTCACATGAAAAGAATGTATATTTTCTAATGTCTAGTGGAGAGTTCTGTATACACTTGTCAGCTAGATCCTGTTGGTTGATGGTATTGAATTCCTGTGTTCCTGCTGATTTTCTGTCTAATATTTTTGTTAATTGTTGAGAACAGAGGGCAGATGTCCAGAGCTATAATTTGGGATTTGCCTAATCCTGATTTTACATCTCTCAGGTTTTGTTTCTTTTCTTTTTTGCAAACCTGTTATTTAGCATATCCACATTTGACATTACCATCTCCTCATAGTATATTGGTCTTTTAATTATTATGCAGTTATATCTGCATTGATTGCAATTTAATATGCTTTTAAGTTGTGTCAAAGGCCCGTTGGTTTGTTTGATTCCTCTCAGTCCTTATTACCAATTCTCAGTGCAATACCAGTTGGTTCTGGGGCAGCTAAATGAAGAGACATTCTCCCTTTCAGATTGGTTTAGATCTGTTTTTATGGATATGGCAAGAAAAGAGAGGGTCACTCAACACACTTAGGCAGTGAATTTGAGTCTGCAGTTTAGTGTGGCACTTTCTAAATTTTAAGGTGCGTAAAAGGGGGATTTAATGGATTCCACTATGAGAGGTTCTAGTACTAATCTCGGTGGGCTATCTGTCAAAACCTATAAACACGTGATAATTCTGATGTCTGTGGTTCTCCACCCACATTTAGAACTTTAGAGATGGACTAAAAATCCTACCTTGACTGTTATTTACAGGATGTACTTGTGCAAGTTCTAAGTCTCATTTTCTGTATATGTAAAATAAGAGATAGCTTCATAAGGTTAGTATAACCATGTACTTCAGACATAATTGTGGGGCTCGGGATTTAGCTCAGTGGTTCTGCCACCTGCCTCTCAAGCTCAAGGTCTTGAGTTTGATCCCTGATACCTCCCCTGCAAAAATTGTGAAATCAGTGTTATCACTGCCACTGTCATAATCATTAGTCACGACTGTCATGATTTTGTGCATTACTGGCACATAGTAGGTTTGTCTTTCGTAAAAATGTCTTCCCTGGGGTGTGGCCTGTTGGTACCATTGCACTAAGATACATCTAGTAGGTTATCACTTAGCATCACTAGGGCTTTGGTAGATCAAGTTTGGTGACTTGTAGAAGTATGATGAGCTTGTCCAGGATGTCCCTGAGCACAGTGGTGCCAGGGCCTTGAAAGTACAGTCCCATGGTTGGGAGGGGTCACCATGTGGGAAGCTGTCTCTGCTGAGTGAGGTAGCATCCAATTTCCTTGCTTGATGACTGATAGGTGACATTAGGGGCAGAGAAGCTTCATCTTAAGGGAAATCTTCAGAACAACTTCCAAAAATTTGGGGAACAAACTGGGAGGGTGTGGTGGTAATGTCATTACAATCTGAGGGGAGTGTTTTCCTACATACATTTATGGAACGGTGCTGAGAACAGTGATATACTGGGGGCTGCACTGTGAAGAAATGAATGTCATTCTGCCTTGTGCAGCTTGTTATCCACCAAGGAAGAGAGATACTGAACAGGAAATTGTGCGTGTGATGAATGTTGCAAAATAAGAAGTGAGGGTCCCCCAAAAGCATGTCGCAAAAGGAAACAACTTAGCAGGGGCTAGTTAGGGCTACCTCCTTCCAGATATGGCATCAAAGCTGATCTCTAAAGAATGAACAGGGAGAGTATTTGCACAGGAAAAGACATATAAGAAGGTCTGTATTTGGAGGGAAAATCTGACACTCTTGAGGAAGTGAAGAAACAGCAGGCAGAGAGTGAGGAGAGAGAGAAATTGGTAATATTTTTGGTAATGATCCTGGGGACAGTCAGATCGAAGGGTTAAAGCAAGGGGGCTGACTTTATGAGATTTGCATTTTAGGATGTTCCAAGTCGCATTGACTCTGACAATCTGTTTTCCTGTTTCCTACCACCTCTCCCATATTTACTTATTTATATTATATGTTTCTCATGTAAGAGGAGCCATGTGATATTTAACTTCCTGTGCTTGAAATTTCTCAAACTTTTGGAGTTAAGAAAGGGAAAGGTGGGGAGAGGAGGTTAAAGGAATTTAAAATAACGAAGATATGTTATATGGATGTATTTGTGCCTCAAGATGACCACCACTATTCTGTATTGTAAATACACACTAGTAAAAAGAAACAAAGAAGCTTTTAAAAATCAAGTCCCTTTGTAAGGACTGTAACTTGGTGTTGTTCTGAGAACCAGAGAGATAGAGAAACTCAACTCCTTCCCTATACTCCAAGAATATTCTAGAAGCGTCTGGAGACAAAGCACAGAATCTTCCCTTCTCCTCAGGTGCTCACGTTCTAAGTCCAGGGAGTCGTGTGTGGCCTGCCACATTGGCTTTTTTTTAAGGGTAGCTCCTGATGTGGAAAGATTTTACTTGATCATCCTAATTGGGGAATGAAATCCACAGGATGATTTCCCTACCAATCTGTGGATGGAAGGATTTGGAACAGTCTACAATATAAATGGACTTACTGTTTGCTTGGTGTTACAAGTTTGAAATTTGCGCATGGGTTGTGTTCTGGGCATTCAGGGACTCCACCAGGAGGGTAGTTGCCTCTTGGTTCCCTGTAGAGGTCAGGATTGCATTTCCCATAAGACATCACTAAGTTGTCCCTGAGGCCCACATAACGTAGTCACTCCCAGCAGCCGGGCTTTTCTGGTTTGTGGCACATTCCTGCCAGGGCTGATGTCTTTATCAGACACAACTGATTTAGAACCCAGCCACTTATATTACAGCAGGTGGGTGTGATAAATCAGGAAGGCTCCTCATCCCAGTAAATACCATCTACTCAGTGAATTAGATTTCACAGAAGAGGAAATCTATAGGTTTTCCCTAGTGTGTCTGCTTGGAAGACATAAAAACTGTTAGGAAAACTGAAACTAAAACATAGGATGAAAAATATTTGATAAAGAAAAATTGAAAAAATAAGAACCAAGATATGTCATGTAAAGGTACAAGATCCCAATGATGAATGTAACTGTACTGTATACCTAAAAAGTACCAATATACTCAATGGAAAAAAATAAGAAAAAAGAAAAATTGAAAAGCTTAAAAGCGAGAATAAATATTGAAAAAAATATGGTAGGTTTTTAGTCTAAAAGCATGAAGACAAATTCATTTGAATAAAATCACGGCAACAAGCTAAAGGGTTAATGCAAAGAAACTTGAGTGTTTCTCTGAGGTACATGACTTACAAACCACAAAATAAATACTTGAAATTAACAAAGAGGGCAAGGCAAGAGCAGATGGCAGTCTCCACTGTACCTGGTGTTCCTTTTCTTTTTGGTGTCATATTCTTTTAAGATGGAAAACCAAGGACGCAGATCCAGTCTCCCCAGCCATGTTGTCTCAGGATGCTCTTCATATTTCTGATGACAGCTGACCTTTTTAAGGAATTACCTGCATTGACAAGGACCTTCATGGCACTACCTGGGAAGTCCCTGAGCAAGAGCAGCTGTGGCCAAACTAGCCCTTGATGACTTTCTAGGTCTAGGATAACTGTAAGTGTTTGGAAAAGTCCTTAGGGAAGGATCTATGTGAATGTAAGATAGCAGCTAATCTTTTGGAGATGGAGCCTCCTGCTGGGCTTTTCTTAGATGATTAATTGAATCTTCCATGTTCCACACAAAGACGCAAAGTCTTTGCCTCCATGAGCCCTTGTGACAGTTGATTTTAGGGGTCAACTTGGCTGGGCTATTGCACCCAGATATTTAGCCAAACATTATTCTAGATGTTTCTGTACAGGTGGTTTCTACTGATTAGATTAACATTTAAATGGGACTCAATCAATCATTTGAAGGGCTTGCTAGAGCCAAGACTGACCTCTCATGAGAGAGAAGCAATCTTGCTAGCCTTTGAATGTGAGCTGCAACCCTTCTCTGGGTCAACATGTTACATTAAAAGACACATTGTCATTAATCCACCTCTCTTCAAACACACTCATCCCGCCGTTCTTAGCACTTTTGGAAGCAGTTGTGGAAGTCCTCTTTCATGAGTGTCTTTTCACGGCTGCCGTGATGTCACGAATTGACAACTACAAACATGAAAACGTTACAGTGTGTCCTCGGCCTCCTTATTTATCAGATCTGGCACCATGTGACTTTTGGCCCTTCCTCAAAGTCAAAATGACCGTGAAGAGTAAATGTTGGAAAATGATTCAGGACATTGAGGTAGCCATGACTGCACGCCTAAAGACAGCCATGAAAGAGGATGTCAAGAGCTGTTTTGGCATGTGGCAAGAGTGATGGGATGTGTGGCCAGAGCAAGGGGTGGTATTTTGGTGGCGTTTAAGGGCAATGTGTCTTTTACTGTAGTACCTTAAAAAAATTATGCATTCATTGTATTGTATGATTATACAACGTATTTTATAAAAGCAGAGGTGAGACAAGAATGTACCTTATTTCCAAGTAAGAGAACACAGGTCAGGATCGGTAAGGCCAGTTCTCCTGAGACACTGATGGATTGCTGGTCTGAGTTTTTAGATTAAAAAAATCACAAAAGTGTGATGTACAAGAACTTTGGGTTTCTCACTTTTCTTTCATTTCATTTTTTTCCTTTTCCTTTCTTTCTTTCCTCTTTACTTGTTTCAGGTTTAGCTAAATCACATGTTTACCACTTTCAGCAGTTTGTCTCTTAATTATTCAAGCTCTACCTTTCTCTCTGTTAACTCTTAGGCCTTGATCTATTCTAAAATTGTGCCTTCTGAGGTTGAAGAGCACAGAGAAGATAGAGTTTCTTTCCCAATAGCTCCAGAGAAAGTCCCTTTACTGTTGTGGCTTTCTTTGTTCCAGCTGGATCATAGTTTACTTCTGAATTGTACCTCCACCCAATAGCTGTGTGACTTCAGACTCCAAATTCTATAGCCTTGTGACATATAGTCATCTCTCATCAACTTAAGCCTGGCTTTGGGGGAAAAAAAGCTCATTGGATATTTGAAGCTTTGGATCTAGTCTGCATGGTGCAATATCTTGCTTATTAAGTGGTTCCCATTAATGAAGTGTTTCCTGGGAGGTCTCCAGAACTGTCTTTTGGGTTTTTTAATTGAAAGTTTTAATTAAGTTTAAATTAGTCAATGTGAGTATAAACTTGGACAGATAAAAATGGACAGATAGAAGCAAACCTACAGAGGAAATTAAATTAGTAAATGGACATTGGGCAGGAACATGTGGGTGAACTGGGATTAAATGGCTCATCTTTGAAAGGAACCTTGGCTCCTTGCTATAAGTAAATGACCTTCTCCAAGGTACTAAATGGCATCCTAATAGCCTAAAAGGTTTAATGCACTGCCCCAATTTACTCCTTGCTGATCAGTAGGTCCACTGATCAGCACTTCCTGTGTACCCCGTGTAAATGACTTGAAGATAAGAATATAGAAAGAGTTATTAAACTTTAAACCAACACAAACATTCATGTCATGAACTTTTCCTTTTTCACACTGTGTTTTCTGACAGATTTGATTTTTGAGACCATGAAACAGTCCCAACTTATTGTCCAAAAGCCTTTTCAGAACTATAAATGATTGGATAATGACCCCAGTCACCAGAGCATGTTGGAAAAAATCTTTGCTCAGATAGAATCTCAGGGGTCTTAGCTAAGGGACACTCATCTGAGGCACCAGTGATGAGATTTTTGTGATATTTCATTCTGACCCATAGCCCTACACATCAGTACCTGTGAGTCACATACCTAATAACAAAGGCAAACACATTCACATTCATCAAGGAAGTATGTGCTTGTGTTCTGGAGAATAGTTCCTGGGTGTTAAGTCAACCACGCTGCATACTGATTCAGAGAATGGCTGGTCCGCTAGGCAAGGCCAGTTTTATCCCTTTTTTGCCAGTCCCCGGGAAGTGTTTGGATATCACTGACAGCATTTCTCTTGATGGGTTCATTCAACTCTGGCAAGACAAAAATGTTTCTGTGTATCTTACACTGTGCAGATAATTCCAGAATGGTCCTTTGGAGGTGACTGGGGTTATTGGGTTGCTTTTAGAAACAAAACAAAGGTAAGGGTTTTATTTTTCCTTGGAGCTTGGTGAAATGGATCACATTGTAATTATCCTACTAGAATAATTCATTTATTTTATAAGTATTTATTGAGCACCTATTAGTGGTACCAATGGTGATAGCAAAAAGAAATATTGTCATTTGATAATATTTTGCGCAATCTTTTTTCCTCATGACTAGAGAACGAGTTAGATTTTTAAGAAAAACCTAAATTTGTAATTTCTTATTGTGATACTATAAAGCAAATGAATGAGTCCTAGGACAGAAGGTAAGAGAAATTAATTGAGTGGGTGTGGTAGGAAACACACACATATATATTCATAAGCCTTATATGTACATAACTATATATGAATGCATGCAAATAAATTTAATAGGTCCCAGATCCTAAAGCCACTTAATGATTCTCTATTGAATTCCATGTTATAGTAAACAAAGGTCTTAGGCAATCAGGCTTCTTTGGATATAGAATTAAGTTAATACATGTTGGTTTATATGAATATTTCAATTTTTAATAATTATGGAAATAACCAAAGTGGATTAGGAAGGTCAAATATGTTTTAAAAATTGAAGCGAATACTTTAAAAATTCACATCATCAAGATTTTTTAAAAAATCTATTCTTGTTAAATGCGAGCACCTATTACGGGATGAAGTCTGGATTAGGCGTTCATTTTTAGTGGTGAATGGGGCAGTCTTGTGCCTCCCTTCCTGGAGCATCTGCTCTAGTCAGGTGTGCACACAGCAAATCAATAGTTGCATAAAAGATATTTAATTATTACTCTAGTGAGCCTGTCCTGGGGAAAATCTAACTCTGTGCAAAACTCAACAACAGCACTTGTCTAGAAGCTTCAGTGTTCACATCAAAAGCTGTGAATAAATTCTTGATTCAGAGTATTGGAGCAGATTCTGTGTAGTAGAAATTATGTAGTAGGAGGTCATGAGCTGCAAAAATGCAAATATAGGTTTTTTTTTCCCCTTAAAAAATGACCCTGTTTGAATCCCACATTTTCAATTGTCTTGTCTAATGTGAAATTTCTGGAGTGAAGGGGTTCCTTTCATCACTGTTGTTATGGCCAAAAGAACAGATGCTACAAGGCTATAATCCTCATTATTTTAAGCTAATCATTCAATTACCGAAATCCAGGTTTTGGCGTCAGAGACAACATGAAATGAAAGGATGAGCAATTGCCTAAGTATTTTAGGCTGGTGCACAATCTGGATATTCCTGCTTCCCAAAACATCTTCCCTCAACTTTTCCCATGAACCAGAAAGAGAGATTTTCAAGTATTTTTTCCTCTGCCGCATGCCTTCCGTAAGTCTTTTTTTTCATGCACTAAGTTAAATTCATCGGTACAATTTAGGTACGTAATACAGTGGCATTCATCATTGGGAGTTTGTATCTGTACATGATATATCTTGGTTCTTATTTTGTTTCCTCATTTCCCCACTCTCCCTTCAGCCCCTCCACCCCTCCCTATTTACAAAGACTTTGTTTCCATTTCTAACTTTTCATAATCACAAACTAGACTTACACTTTGTACCTGAGCCCAGTTCTGTACTGGGTTTGGAGAATTCATTCGTGTGACCTTCCTTGCGTGTGTGTTAAAGCCAGGATGGAGAAGAACGGAGAGCACAGTGCTGTGATTGTGCTCTGTGATGGGAAATCTCATAGTTGGAGCTCCTTCCCATCTGGAAGCCGGTGCATCAGCAGAGTTCGCCTCACTGGTAGCATCTCCAGATAGACTGTCGAGCATCAGCATGGTAGAGACAGAGGCCTCTCTTTCCTTATTGATCCTCCTTTAGCAACCACTGCAGACTCAGTCCTGAAATGGAGTTAAAAAGGAAAACCTAGAGAGGAAGTCACATGGCATTGTTCTCAACTGAGACCAAATAACAGAAGAGCTACAGGAAAGAGGAGCAGAGAGGAAGGGAAGCGGGATCCCTGAAGGGATGACAAGGGAATTAAGATGTACTGACTCTGCAATGAATATAATCATCATGTACTACGAGCGTGTACAGTAAATTAAAATATTATAAAATAAAGGATTATATTTGTGTCATGATCTGTCATTGTAGGACTCAATCTCTGTTTGAGTGAATCTCAAATAATTCACCCATAATCTGTTTTCTTGTCATTTCACTTCCTCCTTATTATTCCTTCGATACCTGGAGACATCATTTTAATTTATCTTACATGGCAAAATTTCCACATCTCATGAACATTAGTTGAGTTTATCATCAATGATTTAGAATAGATAGGAACCAAGACTATTACGGTATGCCAAATAGCCTCCAGCTTTAAAAGATGGTAATACTGTACTGGGTCAAATTTGCATCAAATCTGTATTTTCACCACAACAATTAAATAGCTCAGATTCAAATGGCAGTTTGCTGTGTACCTCTCTGTTCTCCTTTCCCTCCCTGTCCCTCACAGGAGAAATTCCTACGTGGGCTTAGTGTTTGTCAGCGATGTGGTTAGACTTCTTCCGCAGATTGAGATGTACAGATATTTCAAGCAATGCTGTGATATAGTTTTGTAGATTCCAAAATTTTACATGAATGATGTAATACCATAGATAGCCTTTTGAACTTTTTTTCTATTTGGTATTTTAAAAATGAATCCATAGTGCCACAGACAGCTGTAATTTATTTAGTTTGCTATAGAGCACTAAGTGCACATTCTTGAATATAGTTTTCATATTTGCTTTTATTTATTTTGGTGTCTGATAATCTAAGTGTAAAATGTGATGTTTCAATATATAATACATATATTTGAAACAAGTGCTACAATGAAGCTAATGAACACACCCATCACTTCCAATATTTCACATACTTACCTTTTAATGGTGACCATATTAAGTATCCACTCTTTTAGCACATTTCAAGTCTTAGACACAGTATCATCAACTGATGTTACTAAATGGTGCACTACATCTCCAGGACTTATTTATTGTGCATAATTGAACTTTGGCATGCTCTGGCCAATATTTTTCTATCTGGACTTCTCTGGATAGAAGTTCATGTGTTTCACAATTTTCCTGCATCCTTGGAGAGACAAACTTTGTATCTTTTTCCTTGGGAGTGCGCCAGTGTTTCTTGAGTACACATCTAGGACAGTGTATCAGTCATATTTCTCTCACTGCAGTGGATATCTTGAGATAATTAATGTATAAAGCCAAAAGGTTTATTTTAGTTTGCGATTCTCTGGGCTCCAGTGTGAGATGGGAGTAGGAGACAGGCATCGGCATTGCAATGCTGTTGAAGTGTGCCGTCACTGTGGGAGCTCATGCGAGGGCAATACTGCTTCACAGGCCAGGAAGTTACAGAGGAGGAAGTGACCCAGTTCCCACATTCCCTTTGAGAGCATATCTCTAAGGAGCAAAGGACTCCCCCTCGGTCCCACCTCCCCAAATACAAATACAAAGAGGTCCAGTAACAGGTGAGCCAGCGTTCTGCCCTCTG